TTTTTTTTTTTTTTGCCTTTATTTTTACTTCTCATTTTGTATGTTACGCACTGATCTTATGAATAAAAATCATGAGACCGCCAAATTTTTGCACCATCACTATTTCACTCCTTGTTTTCCTTGTTTTTAGTAAGTTTTTTTAAGCCTTTAAATTAAAATATCTTGTCAACTATTAAACCAAACTTGATAATTTTTTTTTTATTTTTAATTCTATAACTAATAGAATTAAATTAAAAAATTTTTTATTAAGTTTGGTTTAATAGTTGTCAAGATATTTGAATTTAAAGTCCGAAAAAAATATACTTAGAAACAAGATGCTTGGTTTCTACTGACACCCCCATATCTTTGCTCAGAGTTAGTAAACAATTCAAAATGCCTATTAAAATAGAAGCTGCGTTAAATTTTTTTAAACCTTTGAGCGAAGATATCACAACTAAATCAAAAATTTTTTTAATCTGATGCTAAGAATATTTATAATTAATTTTAAAAAAAATAATAATTAAAGTTTAATAGGTAATTATCATGATACCTTCACTCTAATTCTTGAAATTTTTATTAAAAGTATCGCATGTGTATCAAAAAAGTATTATGCTTTTTGTTTTATCGTCATTTTAAATTAAGTTTTTGTACTAAATTTAGTACAGCTAACGGATACCCTTTAAATTTATTAAAAATCATCTTCTCAACTATCAAACAATAATATTATATATCAAATTATGAAATTTCCAATATTAAACGAAAATTTTTTTTCAATAAATTTAAAAAATTTTATATAAAAGATGTAAATAATGTAAATTCTGTAAAATTTGTAAATGGATGAAAGTTATAGAAGTCCTTCCATTTGACCTTTGTAACAAAAACCTGCGGATTTTAAACCTTCGGGGTTTGAATAAATCCAAATACGGTATATCGGTCAACAAATATGTCCCCTGATGTGTAACATATAATAAAATCTAAATATATTAATGCGTAACCATTGTACCACTATTGTATATATATTTCTCTCTTTTTAGCGACTATTAATCTCAGAAAAATGTGTAGTTTGACTTTTATTTAATTGTTTTTATGAAAGTTTGTATTGCAGCCTTTTTTTTACTAAAATAAAGTACAAATTATTTCCTGAAGATTCTTTAAAACAAATAAATTCTTTTATACGAAGCTGACTAAAAACAAAAAATCTACCATTATTAATTTTTTTAGAAAATTTTGACATCATACAGACTAGTACTGATTTAGAGAATTTTAGAAAATTTGCTGCCTATTCCTGCTTAGACTCATTTCAAAGCAAAATTTGCACTAGAATATTTGCGGTGAAGGAATAAAGACAACTAGAACAAATTCAGCAACAAATTATTTAACGTTGCAATAATTGATATCTATGATATCATTATTCGGTTGCATTTTGCATATTTTTCATTATAGTTATTTCTGAACCTCAAAAATAATTTTTTAACAAATAAAATAAATTGTGAAACTTAATTAGAATACATAACTATAATTTTTGGATACTAATAATTATGCAATGAACTAATATGAAAAGTAATGATACCTTTTTCAAATCCAATTCCATTAATACATTATATGTTCCAGTAGCATTATCCATATCAGCTGATGTTTGGTATTAAATGAATGCCTCATGTTAATTTTTTCAAACCCACTTCCATTAAGATAACAAATGTCTAACATTATATGTTAATTAGTACTACCCCATGTCAGCGGATTTCTGATAATGAATGAGTGCCCTATGTTTACCCTTTTCAACTCTAGTTTCATTTTGATAACAGTTACTAAGACTTAAATAATACATGACCTCTGAAGTAGTTAAAGAAAATTCAGCAATTCTATTAACTGTTATCTTTGGAAATGAAGGCGCTAACAACCTTATCAAAGACTTTGATCGCGGATCCCAAATTTCTATGATGCTATCATGTATGTAGAGCCTAATTATACTAGTATTTATTAACTTAAGTAATAGTGATCGAATTTATTAATCGACCATGGGTGACTGCCAGTAGTGATGACCCTTCTATTGCTTTTTTCTACCTAGCAGAACTATAAAGCGCAAAAAATAAGTAAAAAG